CCTGAAGGGTTTGCTGTGGCATCTCAAGAGACGTGTAGCTCAGGAGCTTAAGCTGTTTCCAGAATAAACCTCAGTCCTGTAAGGGCTGATGTCTGCGCACAATAAATCTCTGTAAATTTGGGACCTAGTAATGCAGGGACTTGCATCAGGAGAGGACTGAGCACAACCTTGAGGGATTCAGGACCTGGCTAGGCAGTGCCACAGCTGACCTGTGTTGGCAGTTCAGCTCCAGGTATCTAAGTTGGACTTAGAGACCTCCACAGGTCCCTTCCAGCCAGCACTTCGGGGATTGTATGATCCTCTGAAAGGCCAGCCACCATTACGTAGTCCTGTCCTTCCAGGTAGTGCTAAAAGTGATACGACACCTGATGCTGTGTGCTATGCCAAAACTGTTGGGCTTTGGTCTGGGAGCTGCTATAGCTGGTTTGATGAGAGAGAGAAATCCCTTCATCACTGCCAAAGAAAACCCCTTGAGGCCATCCTGATTCTGGAAACACCAGAAGAAGCGTCAGGACTGTTTTTCATGACACACAGGCCAGACGAGGGCAGGTCCACGGCTGCAGTGGGACTGCAGGGCTAAAGAGCTTCAGGCTTCCTATTCGGGTATCTCCGTACAGAGCTTAGCTCTGTCTTCGGACCACTTCGTTACTCGGTGTTGTTGGGGAAGAAGAGATATGGCGCATTGCTGACAATGATACTGAAGGACTTTAAAAGAGCTACTAGATGTTGAGTTGAATACTTTTGAGGATGTGCTTCAGCGTCACACAGTGTTCTCAAGGAGAGCACATGCTGATGCGTTCATCATTGTGAAGAAACGTGGAGGCTACTGTGGCATCACCGAGAAGTAGAAAAGCTCCCAGATTTGCCTACAGTGGTCTGTAAATGTGGGTGCCAAATCACGTGCGAGGTTTACGTTGGGTCTTTGGCTGAATATGGCGGGAGGGAGCCATCCCTAGGTATGGCCAGGGTCCCGAGAAGGCTACTCACAGCAGACTCTGCTGGAGGAGGTCTTCCTCCTCGCAGTTCCCAGGGCTATAGACTGGATCCTTATCAGCTGTTTGTTCCAACTTATTAGTTTGGGCAAAGAGGAGGTGAGTGGCATGCAATTGCTCACTGTGCCACACAAACTGGGCGCAGTGAGAGCACAAGCGAGAGAGGAGGCTGAGTGCAGCACACGTTCCCCTGTGTTTCGGCACGGCTGTGTAAACCAGTTGGATGCTGCGGCATTACTTTCACCTTTCATATGTTTCTAGCTTGTTAAAATTGTATCTGGATAAGTACATGAAGTCACAGCAGATGGCAAAATCTGAAATGTTCTCTCCAACTCTTTATTTTAATTAGGTTTTCAATTATCCCTTTATGAAAAGCACTCTGTGAGTGTCTGAAAGTATTGCAAGTATTTAAATAAGCTCCTGGTGTGACTTCTCAGAGCGAAAGTCGACATTAGTATCTTTATGAAAGGCTTTCTTGGGTTTTCTCTGTTGGTTTTAATCTTCTGTGGAATGTTTTGATCTTGTTCAGCTATCAGTTTGGTATCTTTTCTTGATTTGGTACTGGACACATCAAATCATTGGCGTTGCAAATGATCTGTATTCCTTACGTGGCAGTAGTGATGTGGGTGGTTTAGAGATTGGTCAAAATGCAGTTGTGCGCAATTGAGCTATGGCCAGCACTGTATTTACGTACTGTATTTACCATATTTATCATATTTACAGAACGCAGCAGCTCATAGTCTCCTGACCAGAGTTAAAATGACTGCATGTTTAAGTAGCAGTCTGAAAATAAACCGTAGTCACATCTGGTAACAGTGCCTGTTATAATGTTTGGCACTTTCTTTTATAATTGCCTCCAAAATGCCATTTTTTTTAGTTAAACTTGGGAAGAGTTTTGTGGGAATGGCAAAAAGCTAAAAATCATTAAGACAGTAGATACCACCCAAGTATAGACCCCAAAGCATCCGAACAGTGTCGACTGAAATTCCACCCTTCTTTCTTTTTACCTCAGGTTTACTTGAGGCACCAACAAGGGAAAATTTCAGTCCACAAGGTTAAATTTTATCCAAATTATAAACACCTGGCAGGATATTGGTTAATAAGAGACAGTGCTAACCATGCCACCCATAGTTTCTGTATAAACATAGAAATGCACGGACTACAGTGGGGTAGAATTCACTGGTCTTTGATGATGCAGTTTATATACAACCTGCAGATGGTACCAGAATGCGTTTTAGAAGTGGATTTAATGATCTGTTACATTAATAACAAAGAAGTATGAGAATAAACTCATGGAACGATGCTCATTTCATCTGCTGTGGCTCCAGTAACATTTTAGATGATTTGATGATATTCGCTGCATTACTGCAACACCAATGAATTCTTACTTTCCTTGTTTGAAAGCAGTATGCAGCTGACACTGAACATGAGCAATAGCTGTTCTCAATGCAAAGATCCTATTTCTAGGTACAGATTAGTATTAATACTTTGATGAAGCTGGGAAAGACATGGATCGTACTGTGCTAGGTGCTACGCACACCATTCAGAAAAGTATCGAAGCATTAAATGATAAAAAATAATATGTATAAGACAAGAGATGGCAAATGGACCTAATCCAGAAATTAAGTACTAGAGTAAGTTTATATATTACTTTCAAAAGTATTTCATTGGTGAGATTTTGAGGACAGCATTTTCTGTGCTGATTTCATCTTCTGTTGCACTTTGCTTTATCCTTTCCTATGTTTCTCTAAGTATGCTTCCAACAAAAGCTCAGATTAGGAAGAAAATACAGAACATGTTTTGTAACAACAAAAATACTTCTGCAGGATGTGTAAGGTAATTAGTCAATGAGATTTTAAAAATATGTTACCCAGTTTTATTTAATTATTCCTTTTGTCACAACTAAAAAGGAACATTTTCTAAGAGAATTTATTGGTGGGGTTAAATTGAGTACCATTCAGGTCATCCTTATTTGGGAACTATTAATTGCCAAATTAGTATCAGGATGGGGAAGGTGTCTTGCTGTTTAGTCTATCAAGAGGTATTTAAAGAAGAAATACATTGCTAGTCTGTAAATGGCGACCAGGGAGAAAGGCGAGGAAAAGCATCGAAAGATAAAATAGCTATTTTTCTGAAAACCAAGTGGGTATAAATTGGCTGTGAATAAATCGAGGTGGGATTTAGAGGCTGTTCCTAATCTTTAGTTAAGGTAGGCTCTGAAAGAGAAGTCAAACTGCACAGAAAAACCACTTACTAAAACAGGAGTAGGAAACAGCTTTTTTATCTCATGTGTCCATAGTTTTGTTATAATAGGAGTGGCGCTGAACACAGAAGTGTTATCTGTGCAATATTGTGACAGCTTTCTAGACTGAAATTATTTGTCCACACTGCAGACTAATCTTACTCATTTTAGTCTGTAAAAATAACTTTGATGCTCCGAGGACAGAGTTTATTTTCTTTTTTCACCTTTTTTTTTTTCTTCTTTTTTTCCCCTCCATATACGTGATTTTTTTCTCAGTATTTTTTGTTGCACACGATTACAAATGACAAATTTTTGCTTTAAATTCCAAATGGACAGTAAAATATGGGAGGCAAAAGATGCAGCCTGATGCATCATTTTGAGCAAAAGAAAGAAAAAATGAGAACACACTAACTTGGTTCTTAATGGCTGTAACACTGGAATATGGTATCTGCTTATCAAATACCATTTATTCTAAAAAAAGGCTTTCAGTGCAGTCTATCAAATAGTTATTAAAATTTAGACTTGTGACTTTAATAAACATCTATTTTGTGACAAATCCAATAGGCTTAAATACTTTAAAGGGTGTTATTGCTGTGGAGTGGAGTAAATCTGCAGCTGTATTTCTTTCTTGTGTCTCTGTTGGTCGGTAGTTGTCATGGACCAATGTGAAAAATAAGGAGAGCTATTAATAACTCAGTAAATGTCTCTGTTGCCGAACGAGGATTTGAAATTCTATACTGCTGTGCATTTAGAAGCAATATTTAATTACAAAGTAATAAAGATGCAGTATGTTTAAATGTGTATATTTTCGTTGATTATCAAACTTGCCATGAAGGGGTAATAAACAAATTAGAATTTTTTATGTAGGTTGGAAGCAAGTCGGTTTTAAGGTGCTCCTGCCTTTAAGCGATGCCAGCGCTGTTCATTTCTCACAGGTCAGATTAGAAAAAGAAGAATGGAGCGCGTTCTGTGGGATGGATGTAATTTTTAGTGACGTACTGCGTTCGCGATGGGGGGGGGAGATACGGGTAGCACGCAGAAATGCTCTGCTTTTACAATGGTTGTTGACTCCGTGATACTCACACCTGGGACTACAGTACAAGTCTGGTGTCAGAATTGGTGTGAAACCTCTTTCTGCCTCCCAGCCGTGAGCTGGTACCCCTTGCAGCAGCCTGCCTCCTTCTCCACCCCCAGCTGCTGGCCCTGTGGGGCCAGGGGGGGATGCTGGGGACCCCCTTCCTTTCCTGGGTCTGGAAGGGGTGCAGGGGATGCCCACAGAGCCCCAGGAGCCGGTGGGAAGCAGCGTCCCGCCGTGCCGAGGCGCCGTTTCTGGGGCACGTTGTCGTGCTCCTCGCTGTCCCAGCCAGCTTCGGGCTGAGCCCCTGACCTGGCGGGGTGGGCATGAGTGTCTGCACGCCAGGCGCGCCATGGTGGAGGTCCCTTCGCTCGTTTGCAGGGGTCCTGGCGCAGCAGGGAGGGCAGTGAGCCCTGCGGCACGGCGGCAGCACGCGGGGCAGCCTGCCAGCGCAGGGGCTCGCTGGGAAGAAATAGCCCTGCAGATGTCTGGGGTTTTTTGTTTTTTTTTTTCTTTACTGCATAGTATTTCTAACCATCTCTAATAATGCCTTTGTCTGCCCCAGTTTGGGAACTGCTTTCTGGTACCTGTAAGTGGATGCCTTTTGGCCTGACACGTTGAATAGTTAAGCTGTGGTTTCCAGCGGCATGTTCACATGATTAATGAAGGTTTTCTTTTTTGTTTGGTGCAGGGCCGTATCTGCAGAAAAGCTGGCAAATCAAAAAAGTCATTCAGTCGAAAGGAAGCTGAAGCAACGTTTAAGAGTTTGGTGAAGACCCATGAAAAATATGGGTGGGTCACCCCGCCCGTCTCTGATGGCTGATGTTACCAACCTGCACTTGACAAAAATGCTGAACAAAAGTACTGTGACATCTCCTCAGTGCTGTACACCGCCCATCCTTTTCTACTTCAGCTTCAGTTACATACCATGAATGTCAAGGAGATATCTAAGTTATTTATGAACAGATGTGTTTACAGAGGAAGAGAAAAAACAAAATGCTGTGTAGGATTATATTTCAAGACTGGAGAATGGTCATCATTGAAGTCACTTGAGCGGATGCTGAGATTGCGTCATTTGCCCCCATACAGCCCCCATTGTCTTCAGCTTCTTTCCATGACAGCAGCACCAAACAGTAGTACTGGAAAGTCTATCCATTACTGCTCAGTTCATTTAAATGTAAATGAAACAGTTAATATTTAATAGGGAAGCAGTGCATTGCAGGTACATGTTTGCTGTGCTGTTTATCTTTGTCTCCTAGCAGGTCAACATAACTTGAAGATTTGTCTTTATGTGGAACTGTGGTCTGCTGTGACTAAATTTAGACCTCATTTGTGCTCTATATATGACCTTTAATTCATAAATGAAACCAGAATTAAAATGCTGAAAGGTCCTAATGTTGAAAAATTATTAAGTGGAATCACCCAACCGGTTACAATGTGCTATCTATGCTGATATTGTGATGTGCTGTTCAGAAATAAACCAGTGCAGTTAGCTGAAGGTTAGGTGGTTTTTTTAAACACATCCACGCCAGGGCTTGGAGTGGTTGGTTGGTGGTAGCAGAACCATTATTAGCCTGCCGGTACCTTCTGCAGTAGCATGTGGCCTGTCAGTTCTTCAACATGGCAAAACAAACAAATGGAAATGGACAAAGCAACCTTAAAAATTATCTGCTTAATTTTAAAATGATATGCCAGTGACAGAGTAAAAATTTTCAAGTCAAATGGAACTTGATTTGTAAGATGATTTGCATGACTGGAATTTTCTTTTTTATTTTCACTCAATAGACATTGTATGTACTTAGAGCCCAGTATCTGAGAAAACCCGCTGATGTATATAAATGTCCTATTATTTAATCATTAAGGTTTAAGTTTTCTGGTAAACAAATTGAAAAAACTTTCTAAGGGACTCCATAAAAGCTGAAGGTAATGTTTAGAATGGTATAAGAAAAGCATTAAAAAATGTGGATTCCGAATAGAAAATCGTATTGGACACATGCTGAATAAAATCACCAGTATCATTTCTCTTGCCTCAGGAATTATATCATTTTGGCCAACTTTTGTATTCCAAGTAATAGGTTTTCTATTGTGAAATTCTAGGCACCTTATAGATACATCTGTTGTGGTGATATTTTAATTGAAAGCAGGACAGTATTGATTTTAAGACTAATTTGGAGGGGGAAAATGGTGTGTGAAAACACTTTCCATTATATGGCTAACACAAGACCAAATTGAAATGGTTGACCAGTTTCTGTTTGTATTACAGCAACAGTGGAAACTATACAGAGAGTTTGGGGGTTTGGAGTTTGATTTAAAACTACACACAGCAGAGAAGAACAAAAGAGTAACGAAGGACAATGGAGTTCAAACACAAGCGAAGAAGCAGCAGAGCAAATGTTCTTGCAGTACTGATGCAAAAACACTGCTCAGTTTATCTATAGATGCTTTGCCAGTGCAGCAGTTTGTCAGTTAGACAGAGAGAAAAATAATCAAAGCCTTCACCAAAATGGTTATGCAGGCCAGAGCCACTCAGGTTTGGGGACATAGCTGATTTCTTACACTTCTCATCTCCATCAGCTGCCTCTTCTCTTTGTGCTCTGACCGTTTGTGGTATATGTCTGGTGTGCCTTATCTCAGTTATAAAGGGCAATGCTTCATACCACAAATCTGCACAGACCTTGGTGTGATTTATCTCACCCTGCTTTATACCTGGAGACCGTGCTATAATCAGTATATATATATATATAGACTTTACCCCTAAAACTGTGTATCAGTTCTGTGCATCCAGCAGCAGAATGTGTCTTTTGATTGAGGAATAACATTTCAAGTAATTTATTTACTCAGTTTTATAAACATTTTTTTGCTATCCATTATGAAAGAGGAAACTAGTATGTTAGGCATCAAATAATTTGCAATCCCTAGTGGGACTCCCTGAGAACAGCTAGAGGGATCTAGCACTGGAAAGCATGAGGTTTGTTATTTCCCTTCAGAAAAGCTCTTCCCTCATCAGCACAGTAAAATTACGTTAAAAGCAGTGTGAAGGTGTGGTAAGTCTTTTGGGGGGATTATTTCATTTTCTGCTGTTTTTTTAACCTGTCTCTTTTTTCTGTCAGTGGGTTATTTTAAATCTTCCCGAGAACCATATCTTTAATATTTAATTAAAGGGTTAGCTAAAAGGAACGTAGTGGGTGGATTGCTACCACTTCCCTCAAACCTACTTATTATGTGTCTTCTTAAGTGTGCTTTAAATAGTTAGAGCAAACATCATTGCTAAAAATCACAGTTACTTTCTGGCTGTAGGAGGTTCTCTGTATCACTCAGAGTCTTGGAGCAGTAGGAGAGGCAAATCAAAAACTGTGGAGTGCTTTGAAGCTGTAGCAGAAGGCAAGCAGAGTGCATGTGATGAGCTACAGCAACAAATTGTGCAAGGAAGAAAGAAGGAAAGTACACTGCATGAACTAGGGCAGGATGGCATTCCTGCCGCACCAAAAATAAGACTGCTCCTATTGAAGAGAGGATGGCTTATAGCAGGAGCAGCCTGTGCTGGGGGAGATGCAGGAAAAAGGGGACAGCAGGGAACGCAGAAGCATTATGCTTCTGACCAGGGAGGAAGGGAGATGGCTAGGAATGTAGTTAATTAAGAGGTTTAGAAAGAGGGTTGATCTATTTTAGGGAAAATTAGTTCATGGGTTTTGTCTAGCTGTCTGCTAGGCAGGTTCCACTTTCTCTGCAACAGATAAATTGGGAAAGGAAAGGTGTGCGAGAGGAAGAAAGAGAGCAAGACCTGAGAGAGAGAAGTATGGGCTGAGGAGGATATAACTGGGCAGCTAAAACACGGGATAAAAAAAGCCTAATGCTGGAAGGGTGTAAAATGAGGGCTGAAGGGAAAACAGCACAGCACAGTACCAGAAAAAGCAACAAGGAGGGCTGAGGGACAGCAGTTTTGGTGGGACCTACTGCAGGAGCTGATTGCAGAGCTGCTCCAGGGGCCTGTCTGTTGAGGGAGCTTCAGTGAAAAAGATCCTATAATGTCCTTTTTGTCTGTATCCTAGAAAGTGGTACGTACTTCCTCCTTGTTCTGTCCTCCTGGCAGCTGAGAAGGGTGTGAAGATTCGGAGCTGTGGTGTGGAACTCAAATCAGGCTGTCCCCTCACTTCTCTGACTGAGAAATAAAGCCAAGTGTCATTCCCAGGTCCTAAACTTGAGGAGGCCAAAATCAAAATAGATTGGCCAGTTGTCTTCTTTGTCAAAGTTCCTCCATATCAAAGAAGTGGGAGGATTTTTTTTTTGCAGACAGTAAACATCAATATTCCCCCTTTATCCAGTCAAAAATCTCCTCAGGACTTCTTGTAAAATTAGCAGTCAGCACAGGTCCTCCAGCTCTCATTAGACCCCTTTTATCAGGGATATTATTTTCCATCTGCTTTCCCCAGAACAGATGATTAATTTGAAACTAGCATCTGGGGAGGTGTGAAGTTGTATTAGAAAGTTAATTCCTGGCTTTTTTAGATGCCCCTTTGGAAGTCCTTCTCCAAGACTGAAAAAGCTACTTGACTGAATGCGGGCCTTGAATGAAGAAAGCTTATGATAAAGGAAGAAAGCTGTCTCTGAATACCTAAACACTGAAAGATCTCCACAAAGAACAGAGCTGATGATTTATATGGGAATGTATTTCTGTGTCATTAGAAATTGGTCCTAAAAGTTCAACAATCAAAAACTCCGCAGTCAAAGACCTCTTGAACTTGCCTTCTTTTGTTTCCCAAAGGCAGTGTGTCTCCTTCATTCCAGCCTAAACTTCAGTACCATGTCCAAAGAAAAAGTTATGGTCTGTTTATTTGGTGCTGTGACACTGTATTATATAAAAAAAGACTCACTTCATTCTCCTTGTCCAAAGCAGTACATAAGATCCTAAAATGGAGCTTTTTGCATAAATAGCAGGGTTGGGACAAAGCCTGCCTAGTATAACAAACACACATGATGTGATTGTAATATATATACTTTTAGAAAACTCATTTAGAAAGACATTCAGAGTGGCAGCTGACAAGCAGTGATTGCTGTGATGGCCAGTGCTCTGAAGTGTGTGTACTTGCCATTCCACAGGAACTTGGAGTAAAAAGAATTCTCTTCCTGATAGGCTGACTATACAGAGAAAATACTGTAGGACTAACTGGCATTTGGGATTTAAATCTCAGGGTTTTCTTTGCCACATTTTACTCTTTTATTTTGTCAGGATTTTCAGGCACAGGCATGGAGCCATAGTGTCTTCGTTTTACACTAGCGTTATGGCCAGCGTGGTTATTTACATGACTCCAATGAGGTGGTTGATGACGAACGCACTTCTTGTTGATGAAGTTTCTAGAGGATAACTGTCTTCCAGCTGAATGCCTGGGTGTGGAGCTTGGCTGATGTACTGAGGACATACTTTTTAGCATTAGATGGGCAGATGCGATGCATGCTTAGGCATCTGAAAGCTTAGCTGAAATTACATGGGGAAGCATTTGCACAGAGTCAGTGTGAAAGGTTTGTCTCTTCCATGCAATAGGTAACTTCTGCTGAACTACGATGAACTACATGAACAGAATTAAGCAGGCCAACCTGCTGGTACAATATAATTTTCCAGTTACGTATCCCCTCCCTGACAAGCACCAACCTATATTAAATAGTCTGCTACAGACATCACATTTCAGAAGATGACAGTCAGTGGAGATGTTGAAGAAAAACTCCTGGGTATGTATCTCCTCCAGCCTTGCTGGTCGGTGCATTCCTGGGGGAGGATGCAGCCCTGATCCAAGTGAACCAGAGACCGAGAGGGCTGTGTACATGGACTAAGGGCATGCACTGCCCTGCAAAGTGCCAGCTGGGGGCAACAAGCCTCTGAGCTCACCTAGGCAATGTGCATACCAATCTTGCAAATACTTTACAAATGTATATGTTACTTGGATTGAGTCAAAGGGTTCAGTACATGTCTGACCTGAGTTCAGATGTGCAGAGCGGATGGGTTACTAAACATGCACTGGAGGTTTTCATGTAAGTTAGTGGCACATTTAAGTTTTGCTTTGCTTGCTCTGAAGAATGAAGTGGCTGTCAAACTAGGTCTGAGGACAAATAGGTTGCAAGTGAGTCACCTGCTATTATCAGCACAGCTGCACAGAAGAGGTGGTTTCATCTGTACATCAGAGGGTAGAGATGAGGTACTGCAGCAGGAGCAGCCAGTAGGACATTGCAAGAAGTTATAAAGACAGAACTTGCCTCTCTGTTCCCCACCCCCCATATTATTGACTACTTAATTGCATCCTTTTAAATGTACATTGCTCTGCTTTGTTAATTTTACCCCCCTTTATATAATTTCAAAGTTTTACTGATATGCTAAGGAAACCTTAAAACAAATTATGTAAATTTACATTTAAAGCCTGCATTTCAATCTAGAAGCATGCAAATGCCATGCTGACACCTGTCAAATTTCACCAACAGCTTCCTCACACTAGTAAGTCTTGGACAAATCAGTGATGACGGTAGTTAACACAAAAATAGAAACTGTGTAATTTGGATGTTTGACTTAGTCTTTTCCCTGATTGCTTTGTCTTTCAGTTTGATTGACTTCAGCTGAGAACATCAAGCTAATAGCAGTGAAACTGTCATAGTGTTGTTTATTTATAACAGTTCCTTTTGTTCATGCTGCTAAATAAGGTGGCAATAAATATTCATTGCAGTTGTGTTTCACCAAATGGGACTTCAGAGATAACTCCTCACAGTCTGAAAACTTTGCATTTTATACTTAGGGTTTGCCACCACACTTTTAGCATTCATTATCTTTTGCTGTCAAATACTCTTGTGTTTTCTTATTCAGTGACCTCATGTGTTTTAAATTATTTGTGGTTTACTAACAGAAATATCTGAAGTATGTTGCAGGTCCTCTTGGCAAAATCAGTGAAATGTAACTGAACCAAATCTCATTGTCTGTGTGATAAATCACAGTTCTTCACTTGCCATTTGCATGAACAAGACCTGTAGACTTTTACTAAAGA